CAATCAGCCCATTTCACGGTTGGGGAAACCGAGGCACCTCCAGGCCGGGCGCTTGGGGGCTGGGACGTCCTCAAAAACCCAGCTCTGAGTCTCACGGACATGGCCTTGACCGTCAGTTCTGAGGGTCGCGGAGTCCGACGGGAAGCCGCTGGAGCGGCCCGACCCCTGCCTGGGTCGGGACAGGCGTGGGTAGCGCCGGGGCGGCCGCCCTCCCCCTCCCGCAGAGCCGGGGGCTGGGGTGCGGCGCTGATTGGCCGGCGGCCGCCCGCCACGCCCACGCCCACAGGCCACGCCCACGCCCTGGTTCCCTGCAGCTCTCCGCAGCCGCTGCGCTGTTCTGAGCCCGCGCGACCCCTCACGGACGGCCCAGCCCGGAAAACCCCGCAGGCGCCGTCACCGCCCGGAGCCCCTGGCCTTGACCTGTGCGCCTGGCTCTGCCACGATCGCCCAGAGGCAGCTCCCGCATCGCTGGGTCTCCTCCCCACTCCTCCCTCTCTGCCTGCTCCACGGGGTGGGGTCAAGGCCAGGTGAGGGCAAAGGCCCGTCCACTCCCTGATGCGAGCCGGCATGCACACGGGCACGCACACACGCTGGAGGAGGGTGTGCCCACCCACGTGGACGCTGCACGCCCCCCGGCTGTCGCTACAGGGTCAGACGGGAAGCAGGACCAGCCCTGCTCAGGACTGGGAGCCCCCCGCACGCCCGCCCACGGGACGACTGCGCCCCTCCGCCTCCAGATGCCGTGCAACGTCTCCTGCCCCGGGCGCAATTGCTTTCAAGTCCGGAGAGGCGCTTCTCACTCTCTGCTTCCCACCAGGGATGGTGGCATCCGGGGAGATGCAGGGTCCCAGGCAGCTCACCCCTACATCAGATCCCAGCCCGGCCACTGTCAGGATGCCTCCTCAGTCCAGACACGCTGTGTGGCTTTTCCTGCAAGAACCAGCCACGGGCACGCAACCTCACGAGAGCACCAGGGCCCTTCCAGAAGCTCACGGAGCAGTGGGATTAGAAGTTAGCTTTGAACTCAAAAATGTCTCAGTCCCATGCTACACATGCACACAAACGGGCCCTTCCATCCCATCTTCCCACCAGGTCTGTTTGGTGCTCTCGTGTGGGCGGGCCAGCCCTGTGCCCAAGCAGCTGCACTTGTCACTCACGGTCGCTGTTCCCACCCCTGGCTGAGCTCGCCAGAGGGGTGCACGAGCTGGTGGGTGGAGCTCTTCCCCCAACCCCTCCACGCCCCTTCTCAGTCTCTGGTCCCCAGTTCCAACAGGCAGTTTCTAAAGCTGGGGCTCCCTGGGCGTCACCGAGGCCAGAGAAGCTGCCCGCTGGGCCTGGGGTGTGGCCTGGGATCTGGGGAGGCCCTGGCTGCACCGTGCCCCCCCCCCACCAGCGGGTCCTCCAGGCTGAGCTAGTCAGCTGCGCACCTGCTCCTGAGTGGGCGGGCCCCTGAGCTCCAGTTCTCCACGCTGCCCGACTCGCCATGTAGTGTCCCCGCACCAGGGCTGAGCAGCTGTTGCATCTGCCCCACCAGGCTCCCTACAGCACAGGGCCTGCTTCCTCCACTCTCCCCAGGACACTTAGGTCTGTGACGCTGGCGTGGTCCTCATCTCTTCCCATGATTGCGGTGCCCATTTCACAGGTGAGAAAACTGAGGCTCCAGGGCCAGGACGCCTGACAGGGAGAAGCAGGGCAGTCTAAGCCAGAAGCCAAGCCTTGAGGATCCTGCCTTCCCCAGGTGACCCCAGCCCGCTTACTCCAGAGAGGCGGAGCCCCCCTCTGCCATTCACCTGCAGGAGGGCATGAGGGCGGGGCCGGCTGACTCCGGTGCCTGGAAGTGGGCGCGTCTGCCTGGTCCCCGCCCCTCGTGACGTCAGCCCTGTGAGGTCCCAGGCTCGGCTCCAGCCCGCCCCATCTCTGGATCAGTTCGTGGGGCCTGGATCTGCCCCTAGCCCTCAGGGAGAAGCGGAAACCCAGCCCGCAGAGCCCTCCCAGGGTCTGCGAATTCCCACAGCTGGCCAGGGGTGCGTGAGAAAGCAGCCGGAACTCTTCCCATCCCCGGGCCCTCAGCAGAGTCTGCAGCCGGCTGCTCCGGGACGAGCAGTCTCATTCAGGGCTCTGGCTGCCCACATCCCATGAACCGACCTGTACTGGGACCACCTGCGCCCTGGGTCCACACACCGCCTTTAGCTGCGTTTGTGCCTCGAGGGCCACGCGGAGCAGGCGCCACAGGGACCTCGTGTCCCACAGAGCTACAGCCAGGGCCAGCTTCGTGGGTGTGCAACCCCCACAGCAGGTGCCGAGAACACGCCACAAGGTTGCTGTCACCGCGGTCAGATTCTAGCGTGGCTTTCCAGCGAGGGCTCTGTCCCCCCGGGGCTCCCGCAATGAGGCAGGCACTCCCCCTAAAATACGCCCCATCCAGCCCCAGGGGCCACCTGTCACACCGCTGTTCCACACCCCCGCTCCCTCCCAGTCCCACCGTGGCAAACAGCAACCCAAAAATGCCTTTATAGTAACACAGCACCCTCCGTCGGACCCCAGACACAGAGGAGCCGGGAACACCCCCCACCCCGCACCACCACCGTGCAGTCTTTGTGGGTTGACTGCTCTGCACGGCGTGTGCTCTCATGCCCCGCGCGCCCTCCCGTGCCCCAAGAGGCTCTCCCAGTGTGTGCCAGCACAGCCCTGGGCGAGGAGCACGGGGACCCAAGAAGAAACAGGGCTGGCGTTCCAGGTCACAGAGCTGCCGGAGCCAGAAACAAGGGACGGTTCCTGGCTGTGTGCTCCCCCCAGGAGCGCCATGTCCAGAAACAGGAGCGTCCGCCCTCACCACCCAGCCCCTCTGGTCCCTGCCACCCTGGCCCAGCTGGAGTGCACGCCCTTCTGCAAAATGCACACGCCCTGGGTGGGAGGCAGCCGCCCCCGGAACCCGGCAAAGGAGCCGACTGTCACTCGCCTCGGGCCTAAGTGACCCTCAGCACACGGGAGCTGCAGGTGCGGGTCAGCCGGCGCATAGCCATGATCGGGAGACACGCTGTGCCCGTGTCTAGAGGACCACGCAACCTCACGTGGTCTACAGGACCAACCGGGCACTGAGAGGATGGCCCCGTGGCTCCGGAGCAGTGCGGGCACGGCCACCCTGTCACCACAGTCGTGTTGCCATCGCCGCTCCGTCAGGCTCTGCACCCCCGGGGCCGCTGGCTGGTCCATGACACAGCCGCGCCTGGGCTCAGATCCCTGCCGTGTCCCGCAGCACAGCCCCACAGCCTGGAGGTGGAGAAGCCGGGGACCCAGAAAGGGGAACAAACAAAACCCTTGCTGACTCGTAAGCGACTTAGTGATAGTTGTCACCCCCACGCTCGCTCTGGGAGTTGGCAACGCACAGCTGAAAACCTCTCATTCCACCCTCCTTTGCCAAGGGGGGACCACCAAGCTTGGATGGGACTTGTGGGAAAGCCTTCTAATGATGCCAACTCAGCCTGCAGACGCCTCTTCCTGCCCCTTGCTCTTCTTGTCTAGACTGAGCTATGATGCCTGGAGCAGCAGCAGCCACTTGTGTCTATCAGGAAGCGTTGAGGACACAACAGAAACACTGGGGTATGGATGCCTGATGAAGGCATGAAGCCACCCCACAGTTCTGAGCCCAGAGTCTCTGAGGCCTCCACCTTCCCGCCTCAGACCGCCCCAGCCCCCGTCCACCCTCCAGCTGGCTGCCAGGGAGTTTTCCCTCCCCCCTACACAGGGGTGACTGTGCTGCCCAGAGGCCCTCTGAGACCTCAGACCTCTAGGTAAGTTCCCCCCACCCCCGGCTCAGCACCACTGTCCAGGACACTTCACCTCCAGGCCCAGCCGGGTGCCACCCCACCTGACCCCAGCCCCAGCACAGTCTGTATACACCATGTCCATGTACACCTGCTCATCCACCCACCCCTAACTACAGCCACCTCCTACGGGAAGCCTTCCCTGATGCCTTCAGAGCAAGCAGAGCCCTCTGGTGTGCGGCACCTGTCATGCTACCACAGGACCCCTCCGTCTCCAATCAGTGCATCCAGCTACACGGGCAGCCCCTCCACACAGGGACAGAGCCTGTTAGCCCCTTGGTCCCCGGCTCCTCGCATACCTGAAGGAGTGAGGAGGTGGGTGGGCGGGCTGAGCTGGCCCCTGGGAGTTGAGAACCTTCCTCCTTCCTAGGTGGGGGAGGGGGTGGGCTCACGTGATTGATGGCAGAGTGGGAACCGGACACAGGAGCTCTGCAGGTGTGGGAGAGAGCAGAGCCCTCCATGCACGTGGGGTGGGCGGAGGTGTGGCGCTCTGGAAGCCTGTCCACCCTCCCCTCCCCTCCCCTCCCCTCCCAGGGCAGCACAATCGCGCCGCTACCTGCTCTCCACGGGGGCCCCCTCGGCGCAGGCTCACCCAGGAGTGGGGCCACCCCTCAGGGTCCCCTCCCCCACAGCCGCTGGGAGACAGCACGCCCAGCTCCCGCAGCCCATTTCACAGACAGGACGTGGTGGCCGTGGCCCTCCGCGTCTCAAAGCCTGAGGCTCCCAGCTTTGGAGCTCAGGTGCAGGGGCAGACCACGCATGGAGGAAGGGGAGGGGCTTTTATACCCAAGGCCCTCACGCTCCGCCCACCTCCCAAACCCTGGAGAAGCCCCGCCCTCTGGTGCCACTCACTCCTAAGTTTGGGGCTAAGCCCCTCTACAAGGTCAGGAGCCAAATCAAGACGACACCCAGCAGGGGTACATAGGTCAAGGGCGCCCAAGGTCACCCGACAGGCGGGACAGGCAGAACTGGCTTCTGGGGCAGCCAAGCCCCGAGGAGCCCCCAGTGGGGCAGCAATGGGGAGAATTCCAGGGCCCAGCCGCGCCCGCAGGGCCTGGCCTGTGTGTGTGTGTGAATGCTGTGTCCCAGGTGCCCGTGCGAGGCCCAGCGCCGGCCGTGGCCCCCTTTAAGGAGCGCCCGGCCTTCCAGGGCGCTGCAGTCTTAATTTTAGCTTGGAGGCCTGCCACGGGCGGCTCCCGCGAGCGGCCGGCGAAGTTATGTGGGGCAGCTGTCGGCCGGCGCCCTGGGTGGGGCCTATTTAGCCGGCGGGGGCACGAGGCGGGGGGACCCTGAGCTGGTCTCTCTGCCCCCAGGGCTTCTGCCCCGCCGGCCCCACGGCTCCGAGCTCCCCCAGGGGGCCCCCCAGCCCCGCCATGATGGCCGAGGAGCACACGGACCTGGAGGCGCAGATGGTCAAGGACATCCACTGCAAGGAGATCGACCTGGTGAACCGGGACCCCAAGAACATCAACGAGGACATCGTCAAGGTAGGCCCCCCCGGCTCCTCGGCACCCCGGGCGCAGCCAGCTGCCCTGACCCACCACCAAAGGTTAAGTAACGGCTCCCGACCCCCAGGGCACAAACAGCAGGACCCACAGCCTGGACACGGCCAAGTGCGGCGGGCAAGGTGGCTGCCAGGCAGAGAAAGCCACCTCACCCCTGGTGGCCCTGCCACTCACTGCTGGCGCCCGGCCCAGGCCCAGCAGGAACCAGCGGCCACACTGGGCCCCGTCCCATGCCACGGGCCATTTCTGTGGTCTCTACAGTGGGCACAGGGTGAATCCCCAGGGGTGGCTGCAGCACAGGGACACTCACTAGCCCCGTCTGTCACCCAGGGCCTGGAGGCCATGCCCAGTCCTTTGTGCACCCCAGGTCTGGGCCAGGGCGGGGCACAGGCGCTCCAAGGCCCTGGGGTCCCTGCAAGGGTGTGTCAGAGTTGCCCTCAGCTGTTGGGGCATCCCCCCCTCCCCAGCAAGGAGCCTGAAGTTGGGCCACTTCCCTCGCCGGTGACCCTGGACCCACACCCCCAGTCTGGACCATCCGAGCAGGGTCCGAAGCCACCAGCACCAGAAACAGTGGCAGGGCTGTGTGAGGGGCGGCTGCCCGGGGGCTTCAGGTCCTACAGGGCCCACCTCGAGGTCCAGTGCGGCCTGCAACTCAGGACCCCACATTGCCAAAGGGGGACACAGTCATGAGGCTCCCGCGTGCGACTTTACCCCTGCACACCCCACATCCGCCGTTTCAGCACCTAACGTACCACAACCTCGGACGTCCTGCTGCCCAGTCCCTCCTTATCGCCACAACCCAGCAGGCTCTGCGCCCCCACACCTCTGGGTGCAGCCTCCCCACGGCCATCCGAAGTTTGTGTGTTCCGTGTGCAGAGATCGTAAACTGCAGAACTGAAAAATCCAATCTCAGGCTCCAGTCGCTGCCATCCCAGACGCCGGCACTGCTTGTCCCATTTTAATGAGCCCAGCAGAACCCAGAACTCTCGGCACCAGCCGCGTTTAGGTGCCCAAAGCTCGCAGCTGCTGGGTCAGGCGAGGTAGCTGAGGGCGTGTCCCAGGCCTGGTCCTCAGGGGCAGCACTCATGGGCAGAGCCTGACCCCTCCAGGGGCTTCCCAGGCCCAGGAGTCTGTGAGCCCACCCACCAGAACACACCCCGTGCCCTCGCCAGCATCGCCTGCCTGCTCCCTCCAGGTGGAGAAAGGCCCCTCAGCTCTCAAGACCACGCTCTGGCCACCTCCTCCAGGGAGCCTTCCAGGCTCCTCCAGGCAATCAGTGGCCTCCTGGACTTGCTCCGGGGGCATTCACGCTACACCACAGGTCGGGGCTCTAGCAACTTATCAGAAGTGGCGCAGAGGCGAGGTCTTCAAAAAGTTAGTGGAAAATGGAATTAAAAGATCATTTATTTTGGTGCCAAAAAAAAATAGCCTCTTGGACTCCACGCAGTTTTTTCATGAGAAGCATTGGCCGTGAACTTCCTGCCGAGCCCGGATTTCACATTTCTTTTTCACCCAAGGGACCTCTTTTGTTCATTCCATCTCCCACGGGTGTTTTGAAGCCCCAGGATGGTGGCGCACAGTGTGAGAAGCCGTGGCGGGAACTCGGGCAGCAGACCTGACAGAGTGACAACCACCAGACCGGTGCAAAGTGTCCCTGAGCAGTGCGGGCGAGCGGGAGCCACCCTGGGCTTGACGCCCGTCACGCACCTGACCTCAAGTCCAGGCTCTTCCACCGAGGAACCGTAGCCGGCACACTCGCCCAGGCCTCGTGGGCCTCAGTTCCTACTCTTACACTGCCATGGGCCTCCTGTGGGTAACTGAGCCCCAGCTACACGCTACATGACAGGTTTACTGCGCAGGGTGTGAGCAGTGAGCCCCCACCTGCCTCACAGCCTGCAGGACAAGGGACTCGGGTGTGGGCCACTCCAGGGGCCCCCGCGGCTGCTGGGGGAGACCTGAGTGGGTGGCAAGGGCAGGGTGGTCTCCGAGGTCCCGCAGAGCCAGGAGGGAAGCCGGCCAGGCCGTGGCCGTGGCCATGGCGAGAGCACTGTCCTGAGCTTCACTCCCCTCTCCCGGGGCTGGGAACCCCCGCTTTCTCCCGGCAGCCCCGAGCGTGGCCACAAGATTGTCCTTTGGTATTTTGGGGATGTTCTCTGGCTTGAGGAGCTCTGTGCCCTTTTCTGAAGTTTAGAAATAAAGGATGCAGACCCTGGTGTGTGCGTCCGTGGAGGGAGACGGAAGGGCAGAAAGCAGAGGGGACGGGCACAAGGCAGCTCCCCGGGGCCTGGCTTTCTGGCATCAACGGGAGAACACGACACAGGGTACCTGCAAGGGAGAATCAGGGAGGGAGGCAGGAAGAGAGACAATGCAGAGGCCAAGGCGAAGGCTCAGAGGGCCCCACAGAGCCTGGGTGCACCTGTCAGGGTGCAGGGGCTCCGAGGAGTGACACAGAGAAGCCTGGAGTGGGACAGGGCTGCAGCCACCTGAGCTCCAGCCCCCAGCCCAACACCACCGTGCTGTGTGACTCTAGGAGAACAATGAGCTGGAGTCCATGGTGCAGCTGGAGGCAGGCAGACACACACAACTGAAGAACAAGAGGCACGCCCACCATGTCCAGCGCTTGACCTCCAGCCCAGGGGAAGCTGGGAAATGAGTGCCAACGGCAGAGAGACCATGTCCAGCCCAGCAGACTTCACCAGGGTCCCCAGGCGGCTTGCAGGGCCCTGGGAGACCAGAGGAGAGGACCTGGGCCAACACAGCCTCATGGCCTTTGCCACGTTCACCACAGCCAGCACTGACTGCCCCCCAAGTCTGTGCTGCCCCAGAGGAGAGGGTCACACCAGACCCTGGGCATAGGGATGCCCCCCCAGGGGCCCCGGCTCTAAAGATCACCCGCAGGTGCACCTATGGATGCCTCTCCCTCATGCCCAAGCCATACAACCCTGAGCACCTCTCCCGCACAAGCCTTGGGACCCCAGCTTCAGCCCAAGTCCTCTGAGGGGGCTCAGGGTGGGCTCAGCCAAGACCCAAGGAAGCCTGGCTGGATCCCAAAGCATCACCCAGCTCTGGATCCGAGTCCTCTTCCCTCGGGAGGCAGGGAGACAGACCCAGCCCTCCCCGCATAGTCGTTCTCAGCCCACCTGCAACCCATACGTGCCACAAAACAGCCTCCTCTTTCAGAAAAACCAACAGCACCCCTTGGGCTCTCAGATGACATCCAGGGGTACCTGCATGGCCACAAACTCCCACCCCCAGCAGGCCCCCTCTGGGACTCCCTGTTGAGCCAAGGTGAACCTGATCTGAACCTGGATGCTGCCTTAGACTCCATCCTCCAGGGGAGATCAGAGCAGGGTGAAGACCGCACGGGAGACAGTGCTGAACGCCCCAGTTAGTGCCAGGCAAGCTGTCGCGGAAGGTGAGGGAGGCGTGAATTACTTGCACCTTGGAAAACCAGAAGCCAGCTTGATGGTGAGGTGTTGTCCAAGGTGCCCCCCAAAAAAGGGAGAAAAACTAAAAATGTAGAAGAAGGGAACCAGGCTTCCCAAGAGAAGGAAGCAGAGTTAGCGAGAAGTGGAGGTTTCGTGGCACTGGGAGAAACCTGGGGCAGAGCTGGCAATAGTATGGGCTCGTCTTGCCACTGCAGACATCACTAATGGATCACAGCACTGGCGCAGTGAGTCAGAGCTGACACAACAGAGGATGTCTCCTTGCCACTCCTGCAGGAGATGACGAACTTTCGCATGGGCTGGGTCAGAGCCAATGAAAGGGATTTGTGGGAGAGAAGGCAGGGAGAGCAGGTTGGGGCTGGATCGGGGGGGCGGGGGGGTGGGGGGGCATTCACCTGCTGGTCATTCCACACCAGCAGTTCCTTCTTCCTCTAAGGGCCGTGCTGCACTGACTCACGCTGACGTGATGTGAGTCAGGGCCGTGGGAACCCCAGGTATCAGCTGGCCTGAGTCTTTTGAACGAGGCCCGTTTTCTTGGGGAGCTCATTGAAATTTAGATTCCGGGGCCCTGCCTACACAAGTTCCCCTTCAGCCGAGCTGGTGAGAGTTTTGCATCTGCATATTTGAGGCTTGACCAAGAGCCCCTCGCCTGCAGGAAGACAAAGCTGGAGCCCAGGGTTATCTGCTGCCCCTGGAGACGCACTGCATCCCTTACCCACGGCTGTGCCACAGCCATCCTTCAGCTCTGCTGGCCTCATGGGGGCCTCTCATGCAGCTGCAGTCAGACGGGGGCTGGGGCTGACATCCCCTCAGCCGGAACTCCCTAATGGTGCCCCCATATGGCTGCGGCACTGGGGGAGGCAGGGATCTGCTCGGGGGCAGGGCACAGCAGTGGCTTCCAACTCACGGGTCTCTCGAGCAGGGTATAAAAGTGGCTCAGGGATCCCCAAGGCATCAGCTCTGCAGCCAGTGCGGTGTCTCCTGTGCCACATTCTGAAGCTTACAGTGAGTCACGGGGCACACCCAGACTCAGGATGGGACTAGACTCCCATGCTCACAAACACCGAGAGGCCTGGCTCAGTCATGGCATCTTCTCGCTCCCCCACACCGCTGCCCAGCAGACGCCAGGCACAGCGAGCGTCAAACTCCACCCAGGCACTGCTGCTGCCCCCCCGTCCTCCCAGGCACCTCTGTTGCCCCCTGGGCCTTTCTCCTGCCCCCCCTTCCAACCTGTGCATCTTCACTGAGAGGGCAGAGGCGAGGCTGGGAGGGCCGGGCAGGGGCAGGAAGAGGGCCCTCCCGGATGCTCTAGGGGCTTCCTTCCAGCAGATCCTTCCCCTCCCTGCAGCTCCCTCCTCCTGCTCTCCCCACTCTCCGCATCACCCCAAGGCCCCTTTATGTCCAGCCCAGATGCCCCCGTCCCCCTGTGGGATGCACCCTGCATCTGTGCCAGCCCACCGTGCACCCTGCCACCACCCAGGGCACTGGCTTTGCTGTCAGGCTGGGCTGGCTGCACCCTGCTTGTCTCTCCTGTGCCCTGTGCGGCAGAGGGACCCATGCGTGGGGGCGTCCCGGGGTCTTCCCAGGCTGACGGAGTTGCTGCCATCACCAGTCCTAGCCCAGGAAGCCCCGCCCTGCTGGGCTGTCTTTGCAGCCTTCACCATGTGTGTGCTGCCTGTGTCAGGGAGCCCTGCTGGTCTCACTCCTCCAGCCTCATCAGCGTCACTCCCATCTGCTGAACGCTGACGTGCTTGTAGGATACGAGAAAGATGAACTATGAGAGCAAAGACCCGAAAAGTGGGCATGCAGGGAGAAACTCCAGTTTTTGCAGTCCTTAGATTTAGTAACATAAAATCACTGCTTCCAATTCCTAAATGCCTTCTCTCAGTCCCTGAAGCCACCTGGTGGGGGGCTGGGGAGCAGCCACTGTGGACCACCCTGGAAGTAACAGGGGCCCAGCAGAGAGAACCCAGGGCCCAGCAGAGGCCGGCGCTCACCCTTCTCCAGAGCGGCCCCTGGTCCACCTCTGTGCAGCACTGAGGAGGACAACGCCATGGCCCCGACACACCTTAATGCAGTGGCCACGTGGACAGCAGACCTCAGTGACCTCCCCTGCTGCAGCTGCTCCCCCCACCCCAGATAGCCCATCTGCACCGTGCAGGGCCCTGTGTGTCCCAGGGCCGAGTCCTGGGGGCTCTGGGGAGCTGTGTGACACCCTCAGGCCACGCCCAGCCCTTCCCTCCCCCCACCCCAGGACTGCGGGGGCTGGACTGGCTGGTTCTGATTAATCAACTGGCTCTCCAGCTGTTCCAAAAATAACCAGGCCCGAGAAGGGGACACCGACTGAGAGAGCAGCCACTGCGCTGCCTTCCTGCCCCCCTCAGCTGCACACGGAGCCCCAAGGCTCAGTCAGCGCAGCCAGCACCCAGCCTCCCCCCACACACACACACCGAGTCCTCTCCTCCCCACTTCTGGGAAGGAACTGAGGAATGAAGTCACCGCCGGCTTCTGATACCCTGGCATGGCCGCCCAGGGCTGCCCAAGTCGGGCCTTATAAATATCTCTCCAAACCAGAAGCCTCAATGCTCGGATCCCTGCCAGGGGTGCGGCCGCCCCCGCCCGGCTCGGCACAGCACAGCGCGCCGCCTACACATGTGCTGACTCTCAGAACACAGCAGCTGCCCTGCTCGGCGCGCAGTGGCAATCCCTGGAAATCACTCAAACGTCAGCTCCAAGGGATTCTGCAGAAAAATGACAACTAGAGACACATCAGAGAGATCGGGGCTGTGGGGCCCTTCCAGTATGCAGCCAAGAGGGCAGGGGGGCGCATCAGTCCCCATGGGGACCCCACACACATCTGAGCCTGGGGAGCTGCACAGAACTGTATTTGCCATCAGGCATGAATTTCTGAGCTGTAACTTCAATGGCGCTTCGGATAGTTATTGCTACGGAGCACCTACCACGTGCCAAGGAGTGGGCTAAGGACCTCTCAAGAGGTGTGTGCCCAGCACAGACTAGGTGCTCGATGACTATCTGGTGGACAGATGCACAGATGGACAGATGAGTAGGCAGAGAGCTGGACAGACAGATGGTAGACAGACAGCAATATGAATGGGCAGGCAAGTGAATGGATAAGCAGGTAGACAAACAGGTTGATGAGTGGATGAACTGACCAATGAGGCATGGCTAGATGGATGAACAGATGGCCGGAAAAGTCTCTCTATTCCTCACAGCAAGGTTCTAAGAAATATCCCAGAGGAGTCAATGAAGGAAGGGGTTAACGGATCTGCAGACTCTCTCACCTGGTTACCAACTCCCTCGACTGGGATGCTAGGGCCACCACTGGCCTCGACAACCAGCCCAGGAAGGCACACAAGCCCAGCCTTGGGCATCCTGGGGCGGGGGCAGGCTGCAGAGGTCAGAAGCCGGTAGCCAGCAGGGTGGGACAGGGGGACAGGGTGGGAGTCAAGTGAAACCTCAGTAGGTGTGAGGGGTGCACAGAGGGTGAGGTTGGGAGACCCCAGACCCACAGTGCCCAGCTTCCCAGGGTTGGAAGCGCTCAAGACAGAGCAGCTGCGCCCATCCCCCCACCCACAGCAGAGCAGGTGTGGCAGGTGCCAGCCGCTTGCACACACTCTACAGAGCCAGAGACCCTCCTGACTCGGCACCCCCCCCCCAAATACCACAAGCAGGGTATCTGTTAGGAATGCTGGCTCCCAGGCCCCACCTGACCCAGCGGGTCAGAGCCCGGGCAGCAGCCCATGGGGTGGGGCGAGGCCTGCGGGGTCCCGATCCTGGAGAAGTGGGGTCACGGTCGCCCTCCCCCCCCCACAGGTGGATTTCGAAGACGTGATCGCAGAGCCCGTGGGCACCTACAGCTTCGACGGGGTGTGGAAAGTGAGCTACACCACCTTCACCGTGTCCAAGTACTGGTGCTACCGCCTGCTGTCCACGCTGCTGGGCGTCCCGCTGGCCCTGCTCTGGGGCTTCCTGTTCGCCTGCATCTCCTTCTGCCACATCTGGGCCGTGGTGCCATGCATCAAGAGCTACCTGATCGAGATCCAGTGCATCAGCCACATCTACTCGCTCTGCATCCGCACCTTCTGCAACCCGCTCTTCGCCGCCCTGGGCCAGATGTGCAGCAGCATCAAGGTGCTGCTGCGCAAGGAGGTGTGAGCCGGGGGCGTGGCCAGGCCTGGCCCCGCCCCCACGCGGCTTGCTCTTCAGGGACGGCTCCGTTCCCCCGAGGCAGGGGCACCCTGTGTAGAGGAGCCGGGAAGAAGACGGCCCGGCCCGGGGGGCACAGTGGCCCCTTCCTCCCTCCTCTCCCACCACACCTGCCCCCATCCTGCCCCCACGCGCCAGGCTGATGGGAGCTCCTGGTTAAGAGGCAGCTACTGCAAGTCTGCATCCACTTGCACTGTGACGACACAAACCAGCCCAGGCTCCCTGGGGTCAGCCTGCCCACGTGTGCCAGCAAAGCCACCAGCGACTGCCGGCCAGAGAGGGGGGCGCCAATAAAGGGTTTCTGCCACACTAGGGAATGCCGTGTGTTTCTGTTCACAAGGCTGTGTGCATGCATGTGTGCACACGCGTGTGTGCGCACATGTCTGTGCATGTGTCTGCATGCCTCTGTATGGATGGGTCTGAATGCATGTTTGTGTGTGAGGAAATGTGTGTGCATATGTGTCTGCATGTGTGTGTGCATGTGTGAATGTGTGTGTGCACTTGTGCCTGAATGCATTTGTGAAGGTGTGTGCATGTGCATGGCATGTGTGAATGCATGTGTGTCTGAATACTTGCATGTGTGTTCACGTGTGTGCTTGCATGTGTGTGTATGTACATGTATGCAAGTGCCTGTGTGTGTGAAAGAGAGAATGTGGGTGTGCGCGGACCGACGCCACCCAAAAGGACATTTTTGGCTAGCAAAGCTGACTGACCACAGGCTTGTTCAAATCCAAGGGCCAGCACGGAGTTTGGATTTTGTGGGATTCACTTGGTTTGCTGGGTGTGGCCTGTGGTTCCTTGGAAGATGGTTTCCAATTGAGTCAGCTCATGCGCACGGAGAGGGGGAGACGGGCCTCTGACTGGTGGGGCGGCTGACCCTCCCTGCTTACTCTGAGGGCAGGGCCAGGGGTCAAACCTCTCTAGATCTGCCCTGTGGCTCTGCAGACCCCCAGACACCGGGCCCACACATGCTGGCTGCATCACTGTGTGCTCTCCAATGTGTGCATGGGCAGGGAAGGGGGAGAGGAGAGAGGGGCACCATGACCGTGAACAGCAGGGGGAGGGGAGGTTCCCGAGGCCCGGCAGCCACCCTGCTGACACAGGTGCGCCCTGGGCAGGGCCCGCGCGTCTGGTGTGAGAACACTGCGTCTCCCCAGACACTGACGCACAGAACTCTCCTCAGACCAGACCCCCACCCCCCCCTCCTGTCCGACCTTTCTCTGCCTTCTCACACAACACCTGCCCAGCCTCTGCGGGTTTTCCCAGGCATCGTCTCGCTGTGCCTGGCCACCTGTCCGAGGGACCTTGGCGGGCAGGGGCGCGATGAGAAGAGGGGACGCTCGCGGCCTCGGTTCTCGTCCCGTCCCTGACCCATGCTGCCTTCTCTGGCTTCGGCTGTATCATCTACAACATGATCTCCAATGTCCCTCTCAGCGCCAGCAGGTTCCCCCATTTTTGTTGTCTTCTAACAACTTCTGGAATTTCTGCACACACACCGAGCAGCTGAGCAGGACACAGCCACCCAGAGCCTCTCCAACGAACACCTCGCTGGATCACATCTCTGTCTGCCCAACCTCCCCCCGCCCCCAGCACCTCCTGGACACCTGGTCAGGACGCCCCGGCTCCGGAGATGACCGAGCCACCGCCCTGAGGGCTCAGCCGGCTTCCCGGTGTGCACAGCGGGGCTGCGGCCCCCGCCCCCTGCTCTGCGCTCTCCCCCAGGGCTCGTCCACATTCTCAAGGGGACTCAGGGTGCCCAGGCTCCACTTGCTGAGGACAAGGCTGGAGTCACCTCTGCCCTCCCCGCAGGGCCTGCCCTGCCCGGAGCGGGGGGGATCCACACTCGGAACCCCGCCTTGTGCAGTCTCTGTCCCCACCTCAGTGTCTGCTACAACGGCCCCAGACTCTGACGCCAGCCCTTCCAGCTCCTTCTCCAGGGGCCGCCTGCAGCAGGGGCTCAGTTACCCGTGGGCGGAGCTCACAGCGGAGACGCCCGCCCGCCCGTGTGCCCGAGGCCTCCTGGGCCCTGCAGGGCTCCCCGGAGAAGCAGCAGGAGGGAGGCCTGTGGGTAGGGGGCAGGGGGCAGGGTCTCTCATACGGCACAGGCTGTTTCAGACACAGGTGCTGCGGCTGCAGGCCCAGAGCACAACCCAGGAGCGGAGCCCCGCAACCTGCATTTCAGCACAAACTCCTGGTGACTCTGCAGGCGGCCCCCAGTCGTCCCTTCAAAGGACAATCTCCAATCCTACCATCTCCAGAGCCAGGCTGTGGCACCTCGCCGGTTTGGGGACATCACCCAAAGGGTTCGCTTCCAGGTGTCGGGGCGTCGTTCCACTGAGTCCTGACAACTGAGCGTCCTGGGGCTGCAGAGGGGACCGGATCCCCTTTCTGCCCCGGCCCAGGAGTGCAAGGTGCCCCTGCCATCAGCAGGCAGGGAACTCAGAAGCCGCGCCAACCACCAGATGCGCCGCTGCCCTGCTCCTGGGAGGAAGAATGAAGGCAAGGCACGGAAGGAGAAGCAGTGTTTATTCCCGTGCACCTGTCAGGACGCAGCTCAGGCCAGACATCTCACACTGGCCGCGTCACTCGCCAATGAGCACAGCACAAAGGGGCACCAGACGGCGTCACCACAGGAGAACAGAACCAAGGGATTCACGTTTTGCGTTGAACAGCATTTCGCCGCGACCGATTACAGGAAAAGCTAAGCACTGGAAACCAGGATCTTCGTACAAGGCAGCCCGTACCGTTCCCTTGCGTTTCTGGAAATGGCAACAGAGACCCAGCCAAAGGAGACCAAATCACACAACAGGTGCTTCTTCAGGGCCTGAAGGAACAAGACAGCAGCCACGCGGGCCCTTGGGCGGCCATCAGAGCCATGACAACACAGTGGAGGGGGCGTGTACACCCCACCAATGGGCACCCAGCCTGCCTGGCATCCGCACAGTGGTAACACCCCGGGAAGGACAGAGACCGCGAGCGGCAGGCAGCAGCCGGACCCCTGCTCTCACCCTTCCAGGCGCAGGGTGGGGAAAGGCTGAACACCATGACAGTATCCGGGAGGGCAAGACGACCAGGGGGAGGGGGCAGGGCCAGCCATGCTGTTGAAATCAGATGTCACCAACCAAGGTGCCAGCCAGCGCTTCCACACCATGAGAAAAGTCAAACACCCACCTCGGCTCCGAGGCCAGGACCCTCACAGCTCCGGGTCCCCAGGCAGCCTGTGCCCCTGCTTGGAAAATCCACTGCTGACCGCTGTCCCGAGTGGCCACTGCTGGCTGCCAAGATGGCAACTTCCCCGGGGTACAGCAGCAGCCTGGGGGCACCGCTGCTGGGGAGCAGGACGGCCCAGATGCCGGCAGGGCCCAGCACCGCACTGGCACGCCACACACCCCACAGGTCCTGCCCGTGGGCACGGAGCCCCCAAGCCAGCACCCTGCTAGCTTCCACTGCGAGGAGAACTGGCTGTGAGTGCCAGAGCCCCGCCGTGAGCTGCCTGCACCTGCGCTTTTCACTCGCCAGCCAGGACTGAAGGCTCTGAGTTGAAACCGTGTACCTCGAACACGAATGTTTCAGTGAGTGCTCTCTTCTCCCCCGAAGAGCTAGACCGCACCAGGTCATTGCAGTGTGTGCGTGCGTGCGTGCGTGCGCGCGCGCCCTGCAGAGGAAGAAGCAGGTGAGACCCAGAGAGAGTGGCTCTGTGGCTTTCTTCGAGGAAGCAGTTGTGGTCAAGTCCAAAATGGTGTTCGGAAATGTAAATGGGGCCCCAGACAGTCCTGAGCCAGCCAGGCCCAGACAGAAAACCCGCGATCAATCGATCACTTGAGTCTGGACCTGAATGACTACAGGCTTTTCTTAGCTGAGGTCGTGGCCCACCCTCCCAGCCACAGGCGGGGCAGGGGACGTGTTTGATGAGGGAGACCCTCGGGGAAGCGTTGGTCTGCCACGTGCGGCCGAGCAGGGCCATCCCCGCAGCTGCCACCTTTTTCCCCAAATGCAAAACACCGAAGAGCGCTTCTCACGTAGAACTGGGTCCCTCGGGGCTGCTGAGTCACACGGAGACGCCACGGAACCCATCCGTCACGCTGCCCACCTCCTCGTGCAGCCGCTCCACATTTCATTTTCCAAGTGCACAGTTCAGCGGTTTTTAGTAAATTGTCAACTGTGCCTCAGCACCGATGCAAGAACATTCTCATCACCCAGTGGCGCAAGGCACACCCTCGGCCGTCACCGCCGTGCCCGCAGCCTCCAGCCCCCAGCCCCCGCCTCTGTCTGTGTCCTGTGTTCTGGGCATTTCCTGTACGGGCCATCAGTGTGTGGACTTTTGGCCAAGTGTCTTCTTCACTCACATAATGTGCTTAAGGTTCATCTGTGAACCAATACTCCATTTCTTTCACAGGTGAACAATATCTCACAGCACTGATGCCTTGTTTCATTTACTCATTCATTGGCTGACTGATACTTGGGATAGCTCAACTCTGGGACAGGTTTTTTTTTTTAAGATTTATTAATTTGAAGGGTAGAATTAGGGAGGGAGAGAGGGATAGAGGGGGAGAAAGAGAGAGAGAGAGAGAGAGTGTGTCTTCCATCCATCGGTTCATCCCCAGATGGCTGCAACACCCAGAGCTGGGCTGACCCGAAGCCAGAGCTTGGCCAATCTGAAGCCAGGAGCTTCATTCCAGTTTCCCACATGGGTGCAGGAGCCCAAGCACTTGTCTCATCTTCCACTGCTTTCCCAGGCACACTAGCAGGGAGCTGGATGGGAAGTGGAGCGGCCGGGACTCGAAGTGGTACCCTTATGGGATGCTGGCCCTGTGGGCAGCGGCTTTACCAGCTACACCGCAGTGCCATGAGTGTGGCTGCACCAGTTCCATGTGTGTGCTTGCATTTCTCACAGGTGGAGACTGAGGCGTGGCACCTCTGTGCCACCGGGAGCTCCGTGTTTAACTCTGAGCAGATGTCCACAGCCGCAGCCCCAGTGGCCACGCGCAGGGTCCCCACAGCAGCTCCTCCACACCAACATGTATCATGGCCATCTTTCCACCAGTGGCTATGACATGGTACCTCATTCCAGGCCCAATGCCCAGTTCGCATATGAGTGACGCGGTCGGCACCTTCTCGTGAGCTCGCTGGCCGTCCTCTCTCTTCTGTGGAGAAATGTCCCCTTAAAGCCTTCGCCCATAATTGCCTTGCTTGTCTTCCTGCCCTTGGGCCATGATTTTCACTCATTTTCCTCCGTTCTTTGGGTTGTCTTTGCATTGTCTTGGTAACATCCTTTGCATCACAAAAAGCTCTAAATGTTCACAAAGTCCAACTTTTTTTCCTTTGCTTTCTTGCATCCCTGGCATCCTAAGAAACCGCCGCCTAACCCCAGATCTGTGCTGAGGTAGCCTGCCGGCTCGGACGGTGGGGTCTTTGATGTATTCCGAGTTAGCTTTGGTGCACGGGGCGAGCAAGGCAAGGGTCCAGCTTCATTCTCCCGCACGTACACAGCTTTCCCAGCATCCTTTGTGCGCAAGACCAGGCTTTCCCTGAACTGCCTGGGCTCCTGTCCCGAAATCCACCAAGCACGATGGACAGGCTTGAAGCTCCACTCTTCGTCCAGTGCTCCGCTGCCACGCTGACCCGGTGCCCGTAGCTTCAGAGCAACTATCGAATCAGGCAGTGGGACTCCCGGTCCCGACGCCTGTGCTGCTCCGTCTCGGGGTTTATTCGGTGGGTCTGGATCCCTTGTACTTTCTTCTCAATTCTAGGGACAGTGCATTGATTTCTACTAAGAAGCCCCCCAGGATTTCTGCTCACGATTATAGTGAATCCTCACGGCACCCCGGGCAGCACGGCCGCCGGGACAGGCGCGGAGTCCAGCTGCAACACAGGCTGTCTTCGCACTTGCCGACGTCTGCCTCCAGGGCCTTTTCGGAGCCCGCCTTTGTGAAGTTTATCCCTACATAATTCTTCCTGCGGCTGGTGCAAACGGGCCCGCGGTGCTTGTCGCTAGTGAACACACATCGCCCATCTTTGCAAGCTGATCTTGCATCCCGCAACCACGTTACAGTCGCCTGTCAACTCCAACAGAGGGGAGTGTGCGTGTGTGTGTGCGTGTGTGTGTGTGTTCCTTAGCCTCTTCTACATACAAAATCATGTTCACTTGCAAACGGTTCCACTTCTTTTCTAATCCAGATGCCTCCTCGTTGGTCCAAATCCTTCTTCAGCATCCGTGAGCTCCCTCTACCAGGTGGTCTCGCAGGCACCCTCCCTGCCCCCACATGCACTCTGAGGTCAGGGGGGTAGCAGCACCGCCCCCCACCCGAGGTCCCCGTCCCTCTCCTTTGCCCAAGCCCAGAATACGGGGCCTCCCAACCCCAGTGGCCAAGAACCTTGCCCTTTCCACCTTCCACAAGATCCCAGAATAAAGGAGTGAGCAGACAGCGGAGTCACAGATCTAGGGGACAAACAACCCTCCCACCACCCAGAGTAGCCATGAGGTCAGAGCATTACAAGCACACCGGGGAGCCCGGGGGGATGACCGATGGCTGGGTGCCCCGTCGTCTCCAGCAGGGACCTCTCCCCCACCCCACTGAAGCCACCCCAAGGTGTGGAGGGACACACACTGACAGGTACCTTACAACATACGCACACGGCCCCGAGGGGCAGCCTGACCCCGCCCATGTGGGCGGAGCCTCGAGGGGCAGCCCAGGCGAGGCGGGGTCACACAGTGGTGGGCTGGGAGCAGCTCCGCTGGCTGGAGCTGCGCCGGCTCAGCACGAAGGTGGAGGAGTTGCTCTTCTTGCTGACGCTGGTCTCGCCCTGCCGGCCCCCTCTCCGGTAGCCAGGGGAGCAGCAGAGGAAGCGCTGCACCAGTTCCTGGAAGAGGTGCCCGGTGAAGAGCAGGTAGATCCAGGGGTTGCAGCAGCTGTTGAGGCTGGCCAGGAGCATGGCGATGATGAAGGCCGAGGCTGCGGGCGGGCCGGGGGGAAAGGCAAGCAGAGCATCACTGCACAGCATAGGAGCCGCCGCTGCCCCAGCCCCGGCCCTCCCGGGACCACGGCCCAGACCCCAGGCGGACCCACGCAGGCACGAAGTCTTCCTTCTGCTCTCTCTCTCTCTGGCCTGCCCTCAGCCCACCGCCAGTGCGCGCCCAGGCTCAGCCCTGGCCCTGCCCCCACCATCCTCCCACCAAAAGCTTTTCCTCCGGCTCTGTGGGCCCCCCGGCAGGTGCACCCGGCCAGTCCATCACCCAGCAAGCACCAGAGAGCCCAAGTGCAGCATCTGGAAGCTACTGGGCCTGGTTTGTGTCAGAGCCCCACCTAGAGCTACTTCCTTTACCCATGAGAAGCCAAGGTGCCCACTCTCTCCATGCAAACAGGAAGCACCCCAGGCCCCCCGGCATGCCTGGGACACAGGGAGTGCCCGTATCAACGGTGGCTGCCGGCACAGGCTCTGGGTGTGACTGTGACTGCACTGTGGCCGGTCCCCTGGCAGGCGGCACAGGAGCAGGATGCTGAGATGCCCGGGGCCCTACTGGGGGGCCGGTGCCATGCAGGGAGGAGAGAACACTGACCGTGTGGAAACACACACTGAAGCGTCCCTGAGCGCCATGCAAGAGGAGGATGAGAAATGGTTCAATTCAAGACCCTGCCTGTCACAGACTCGAGCTTCAAGGGGGGAAGGCAGAGCCGACCCCTCAGCTCTCCAAGCAGCTGCACAACACTGTGGATTGCTGTCACTCTCCCTAAGCCTGATACATCGCAGGCTCCTCTGTCCAGCGATGAGGCCAGGGACATCTCCCAAACTCGGAAGGCGCCTCGAGCCCTGTCCACCGCCTCACCCCGAGGAACGGCAGCCACAGAAGGCTCTGAACACCCTTGAGTCTTCTGCCTTTTCACCGAAATGTCTCAAACACCGAATCCAGAATTCAAGATGGAGACTTGCGGAAGGACTCCTGCCTGCGGACGCCAGCGTGGCAGCACCCAGACACGGAGAACAGGTGCAGCGGGCAGCAGGGCCTCCGAGCACGGACGGGAGAAGCAGGCAGCAAAGGCAGGGGCTGGGGAGTCCGGGAGAGGGCTTCGCCGAGGGGTCCCCAGAGCAGCACAGCACCAGGGACGGCCTCAGAAACACAGATTCTCAGGCCTCGCCCCCGTTGTCATACCCTCCCCCTCCCTTGGGGGCTGGGCTCAGCCACTCCGGTACCTGCCCGGCCCCGGGGCGCCCTGGTCCACTCTCACACCTGAGAGCCACTGCTGAAGCAAACTGGTGCACCTGTCGCACCAACACAAGCAACCACAGCCAAAACAAGAAGATTGCCAGAGAGAGGGTTTAGGATGTTAGGAAGCAAGGAGGGGACTCTAGTCCTTCAGACCAAAATAATAAGCGATAGAAAAGAGGAAAATCTAATGGGGGAAAAATAATACAAGCAACTCCAAAGGTCCATAGATATCACACATGATAAAAAAAAAAAAAAACTATGCAAGGATTTAAATACCTTTGGTACCAAAATAAATTAACCTTTTAATTCCATGTCTGTCCCAACTTCTTCAGTGACCTTCATACTACTGAATTCCTTGCTTTTTTTTAAAAAAAAATTTAATTTGCTTATCGGATGTGTATAAATTTAAGCTTAGAAATTCTAATGAAATATTTCACCAATAAAATTCAAAATCATCCACAAGACTAAACAGAAACTTTTAAAAATCATAAAAGTCTTCAAAAATTGCAAAACCAACCTGTCAAAGTCAAGAGTTTTAAAAACGAGAAGTGAACTGCTGGCCTGGGAGGGAAGCAGGTAAGGACACTGAGCTATGAGAGGACAGCAGACGCAGGTGCACAGCTCACACCGGGACAGGAAAGCCCCAGACTCGCCTAGCTGCACCCAGCCAGGCAGTGGAGGCTGAGCATCCCTCATCTCAAGTCCAAAATCCACAACGTTCCAAAAAATCCAACTTTTTGAGCTCTAACATGACCACAAGCAGAAGGCTGCACACCTGGCCTCCGTCTCAGTGCAGGGGTGGGGTCTTCCAGGGCAGCGTTGTCATGGCTTGGGACGCCCACATCCCGAAGCTGAGTGCCTGCCATGGATTCCTGCCATCACCACTGCTTCGGGGCCAGCTTCCTGCTAACGCCCCTGGGAGCCAGCAGGTGATGGTCCGAGCACACGGGAGATCCAGATGGGGCTCCTGACTCCCAGCTTCAGCCTGACTCAGCCCTGGTTACTGAGGGCATCTGGAGAGCGAACCAGCAGATCAAAGATGGATCTCTGTGGGTCTGTGTCTTTGTTTCTCTCCCTCCGCCTTTCAAGTAAACACAGGAACACTAACATTCTGCATAAACATCACCTTCAGGCTACAGACATAAACTGCCTATGAAACACAAATCAATTTTATGTTTACACTTGAGTCTCATCTCATTATACAGACACAAGCATTCCACAAACACCTCTGGTCCACAGCACTTTGGATAAGAGGCACTCAACCCAGACAATCCTATCTGCTCATTTAAGCTGTCTGCCTCTCTCTGTATATTTAATTTTTATCCTGGTTTTACAAAGAAAACCTCCGCAAAGCATCAACAGCAAAAAATTAAATAGTTCATGAATTCCTAGTGGGCACCCAAGTTCCTTCGGCCTTCAGGGGCCAGCCGGGGGGAGCGGCTTGGAGCTGCACCTGTACCCACCTGACAGGCACAGGCACAAACCAGTGCCCGTGTCCAGTTCTCAAGCGCCAGGGCACAGATGGACTTTCGCATTTTGGCAACATGCTGATGCTCCAAGGACGGGAGCCCCAGCAGTGGAAGTCAAGCCTCCGCCATCAGCCAGGAGAGGAAAATAAAGGCTGGCTGTCAGAGGGAGGAGGCAGCAGGAATCAAGGCCCCCGGCTGGGGTGCCTGTGGGCACCCAGGGGCTGCAGAGGCCAGAGCAGGGAAGGGAGCCTCAGGAGAGACGCGGCCAGAGAGACAGTTTCGAAGCAGGCTGAGGGGGTCTGGATCCAGGCTGTAGTCAGCTACACTCTACAGTAACGCCACCTCCCTGCCCCACGGCAGCGTCTGCCCAGGGCGGCCCGGGGGGCAGGCTGCTCGGCCGCAGGTGTCAGCTCATCGGGAAGCTGTCCTGCTGGCTCTGAAAGCCGTACCAGCAGTGTGGCCTTCCTAGCAGACCTGCCCTGCTGCGCTCGCTCCTAACGTCCTCCCGGGTCACCCTTAGGGAGGGCAGGGGAGACAGCAGCGCCCAAAACCAACAGGCTGATGCAAGGACGGAGCAGGCACCAGGTGAGAGCACCCCTTCTCACACTGCCCCGCTTGGCGGCCTGGAAACACCTGTCCTTCCCCTGCGGACGTAGGTCCCGGGTTGGCCACAAAGCGCGAAAATGCCGAGTCAGCTCCTGCACCAGCCTGGCCCTGGCGGCTGGGAAAGCTGCCCTCGTGCTGGTCCCCATGGAAACCCTAATCGTAGCCACTGCTTTCCTCCAACACACACACGCCTCCAGGGGGCGCTCACGGGGCACAGGCTGGAGGGGCGCGGCAGAGCCAGCCTTCAAGGTGTGCCTCAGGTTTGTGATGGACAGCCTTCACCCCCTCAGGACCCAGGCACTCACGTTCCCCCCTGCCTGCCTCCTGCTCCCAGCCCAGGCCCTCTGATGACACCAGCTTTGGCCAGAGGGAGCCGGCAGCCCCCGAGCACAGAAAGGCGGGCCCCGTGCCCACCCTGGGGCTGCTCTGCAGAGCCGGGCCAGCTGACAAGCCCCGTGGCAATGGCCTGCCCCTGCCAAGTGCAGCGCACGCAGAGTCGGGGCGGACCGATAGCAAACCCAGAGAGCGGCTGGGGGAGGCCTGCACCTTCTCTGGGGTCGCCCAGGGGAGGACACGGCTCAGAGACAGCGGCAGAGCAGCCGGCCCTGGTGGGAGGGAGGATCCACATAGGAATGCCTGAGGCCACCCTCCGGCCCCAGCACCCTCTGCCCCTGCGCCGACCGCGAGCCTCGGCGTCCCCATCCACAGCACAGAGGGGACACAGGACCTGCAGAAGAGGCAGAGTTTTTTGGAAACCGTGGACAAGGGCCGTGTGCGAGGTCACGTGTTGACTCAGGCGATGACGATGATGAGTGACAGGAGCGAGATGCCACGCACCACAGTGCTTTGTGGGAATCCCGCTGGGCCACTTTTCTCAATAATAATAACAACAACAGCATCCAAGCCCAGAGCCCCTGAACTGGGTACATTGTCTACTCTCCACCTGGGAAAATCTTAACTCCGCCAGGGCCACGACACTGCAGAGGGGCGATGAGGGCAGAGCTGGGGGGGGGGGGGCGGGGAGGGGCTCCGCGGGAGCAGCCGGCTCTGGTCACGTCTCTCCCATGCACCAGCCCCCAGCACGGAGCCCCCAGAGTGCACCAGGCTGCAGACAGGCTCTCTGGAACCCTGCCCTGAGCCCCCACCTCTGCACCCCGACTCCTGTGCTCCCGGCAGGTCCTGGAGACCCCCGTACACACCCACGGAGCCCCCTCCTGCAAGGGAACAAGAGGAGGAAAGATGAGCACAGTGCTAAGCAGGAGTTGTGGAACGCGGGGGCTGGCGGGCGGGCAGGCTGGGGCTCAGCGAGATCTCCCTGGGGCTCCTCCACGCCGAGACAGGGCCCTGAGCCGAGGAGCAGAGCCCCAAGGCAAAGGGCACCTGCTGGCTACCCCTGCACCAGGGGACAGGAATCCGCCGTGGGGTGGGAGGCCGGGGCCCTGCAAGCCTGGGGCACACCAGGCCTGCCCTTGCCTGTCACCCCTTGTGCCCCAGCCGCTCCTGGGCCCGGCCTTCCCAGCATCCCCTTCCCCAGGCAGGCACTGAAGGCTCAAATTAGCCGGGAACAGCTGTGGGGCAGGTGGCCGCGGCCTCTCGGGCTGTGCTGTCCCCGAGGCAGCCAACACGTCCCACGCACAAACACCAGGCACGGGGCTGCTCCCAGCCGCTGGCGCCTTCCCCTGCAGAGTGAGGAATGTGGTGGAAGCCTTCGTGGTCACAGGGACAGCGTGGGCACTTGGGAGCCAGGCCCCAGCACAAGGCTTTCTAAACATTACTATCTAATGCATGCGTACATGAAGACAGGGTCCTAGCACACGCTACGGCGCCTTCTTTTCACAGAACTGAAGGGGCACAGATGACTTCATTTCCTGAAAGCCACACAGGTATGACCACCGCAGATGCGGCCAGGTCAAGAGGAAGCTGAATTTGCTGCTTTGGGCGCCGCTCACGGCTGGTGGACATGCCCACCTCCCAGGGCCGGGCCTCGGGCATAGTCACTGGGGGAGGAGAAAAGCCAGGGCCTTCCAGCAAACACCAGCCCATCTTCTTCCTCGGAGGGTTGGGACCTCGCGGCCGACGTGGGGTACGTGGGCATGCGTGCACGGGGAGTCTCTCACATACACGCACAGGGGTCTTACAGTGCACACACACACAGTGGGTCTTCACAGAACAGACAGCACAGGAAAGCTAGTTAAGTGTGCTCAGTGGGCGGCTGCCCGGACATCCCAAGAGGCCTCCTCTGTGTGCCCACCCGCAGCACAGACCCTGGGGCCCCGCTCTCCGCCTGCTGAGTGACAGCCTGCATTTCCACCGGGTGTCCGGGTGGTTCGTGTGCACGGTAAGACCTGAGATGCCTCCTTGTAACTGGCAGCATCGCAGCCCACAGGGACCAAGGGGAAGAGAACACGGAAACCGTTCGGGGTCTCCACACGGAACACGCGTGTGCTTCCTGCGTAGCAGGCTCCTGCCTGTACTTCCAAGTCCTTTTCAAATGTTGCTGCCTCTCTGGAATCCTCCTGGAATTTTTTTTCTCCAGGATCAACTGATGCTTCCTTGGGGCATCCCCAGAGTTTACTAAGTGAACACTCGGGGCCAGTCCTCTGGCGGTGACTCGTGTTTACCCCTGGCTGGGGGTTCTGCCCCCTTTCCAGCCCTGCCCTGGCTGCTGGCAGTGACTGGTAACTGGAACTGCCACGTGAACTCAGCAGATGAGAAGTCCCAGTGCCACGAGCACGCGGGAGAAGTGGGAAGACCAGCTCCCTGCTCCACGACTGGACCATGGTGCAGCTCACATGCAGGCATCAAGGTCAGGTGCAGAGAAAGGCAGGGGGACAGGACAAGCAAGGGCAACGGCGAGGTGTGCGCCAAGGACCGCGGCACCAACCAACGTCCAGGGGCAGAAGCACCAGCTCCCGGCAGGGCACAAAGGAGGCGCTGGCAAACCCTGCCCCTCTGTCTCCACCCAGCAGGACGTCTGCTTCCCTCCACCCTCTGCATTCCTGAATCCAGCACCTCCCACCTCCACCCCACCACAGCCCCTTTGCTAATAGCAGCTGGTGCTCTATAGGACGTCCACCCCAGGACCCTGGCACCGACTGAATTCCTCTTTAAAAGCAGATGTCCTAGGGAGCCCTGGGGCCTTGCAGCCACATTCCACCCCTCCCACCCTCACAGGCTCCCTGCTTATTACCCAGGACCCCCAGCTGTTGCGGGCAGGGTCAGCATGTCTGCTCCACAAGCCCCACGCCGGCAGAACGTGGGTCAGCAGGCGCAGCCAGAGCTCCAAGCAGTCTTGGTGCGACAGTCCCCAGCTGCTGGCCACAGAGTGCTGGAGAAGGCTCTGGGCGCCCTCTCCCGACGGCATGAGCAGAAGGACTGGAGCAGACACAGCGTTCCGGGGGGCACAGGAGGAGGCTGCCCAGCCCAGCTCCCGGGAGTGCTGTTCCCACAGATCATGGCAGGAGAGGCTGCCCACAGAGCGGACTTGGGCTCCCGAGGCTGGGTCCCCACTGCGGACCACGGTGGGAACAGTGTCAGTGTGGGCACTAAGGCAGCACAGCTGCAGGAAATCACAGGAACATGTAGGTCCTCAGGCCCTGCTCAGGGGACCCCGGGAAGGCTGGCCCCCCAGGGCAGAGGAGGCAGGGTGTGCTCATGTGCCAGCGACCAGTCCAGGCTAGGGGGACCAAACCAGTGGTCCCCAGTCAGGAGCAGATCTGCCCCTTAGGGGACACCCAGCAATGTCTGCAGGGGACCTGAGTAGGTGGAGACCAGGGGACGCTAAGTAGCGTGCAATGTGCAGGGTGGCCCCTCCCCCTGCCACCTGCCTAGCCCCCACACACCTTCACACGCATGCACAGAAAGCACATTCACACCTGCACTCATGCATGTGCAGAAACACATGCACGCACACACGTGTGCTCGACACAGGCTACCTGGCCAATGACATCGAGCGTGGCAAAGTTGAAAACTCAAGCTCCACCCCATAAGGTGGCGACAGGAATGGAAAGCCCCAGAGTGGGGAGACGGAGTCGGTGCACACGGGGAGTGGCCCGGGAGACACGGAGTTGAACTGAACGCAGAGCACCCCGGGAAAAACGCCCGCGTGGGGAAGCCCCTATGTGAGGACCCGGGGCCAGAGCCCAACCAGAGACACGCCCTCCATGCAACAGACGGGAGCAGGGTCAGACCTCGAGAGAGGGCGCGTGCTGCTCTCCCTCCACGGCCCCTGGGGCTGGAGGCTGGGCCCAGCAGCTCCTGACCCGCCCCAGGTCTGGTGGAGTCCGAGTGAGCGCCCAGCCCTTTCCAGGCTCTCCCAACCCCCACCCCACCCGCCGTCCATCAGGCTGCAAAAACATACAGCAGAGCCTCACCCAACAGATGGTGTTTTTTTTTCTTGCTGTCTGGGGGAGGGGATGAAGTCACCTGGGGGCAGAGATCCGAAGAGAAAGCACCAGCGTTCGCCAGGAGCTGGGACTGCCAAGTGCTGACTCAGGCGAGTGAGCCAAATCCCTGGTCCGCCATCCGCTCAGCAAGGATTCAGTCCCACCAGTGCCGCTGGAGGGTGCTCCATGGCCGTCTCAGGCCCCCCACCCACCCACCCACCACCACGGCTGCTTGCAGCGGCAAGCACCTGACTAGCAGCCCCTGCAAGGGGCGTGCCCCCCAACCAGCACACATCCAGGGGAAGGGGAGGTGCACAAGCCCACGGGGGTCCCCAGGGCCACCCCGGCAGGGAGGGCTGGGAGCTCAGTGCACACTCAGCGAAGCCCCCGGGCCTCGTGCCTGCCTCCTGGCCCAACGCCTGGTGGGTGTCGGCTGCCCCCAGGGTGGGTGCTCACTTCCCCCCTCCAAGGTTTGTCTTGTTGGAGGGAGACTCTGCCCTGTTCCCCCTGTGTCACCTCCCTCACACCCACTCTGTCCCGTCTCCTATAGCTCCCCCCACCCCATACTCTATGGCTTTAACAAGCACTGGTGGAGATGCCCGTGCAGAGGAACCTGGCACACATCTGTGAGCAGGACAGGAGGGATGGGACCCTCCAAGTCCACAGGCTCCTCACCCCTGGACACCCCATCTATTGTCCAGGAGGCTCTGCTGCGACCCCCGACTGACCCACCCCCCTCCTCAGCTGCCTGGATGCCTAAAGCCAACTCCAAGAATGCACACCAAACTTTGAACATGTAGGCTAGAGCAGGCGAGAACAGTGACGAGGGCCAGGTGGCCCCAGGAGCCACGGCCACGCCCTTTCACCCTCACAGCCCCACGGGGCAGACTCTGCTACCTCATCACCCAGGGCAGAAACTGGGGCTCAGACAGGTGATGTAACTCGCTCCAGGACACACCGTCTAGGGTGGCAGAGAAGCCTCCAAACCCCAGCCGGCTGGGGGCCCACACTGCCCCTGCACATGTGCCTGGGGGGTCCAGGGGTCCGGGCCAGGCAGGAAGTGTCCCTGATCCCTTGCAGTGTCGGTGTGGCGCCCACCGCACCCTGTTCTTCCTGGGAGGGTTCTCACTGCCTTCGCTGGTCTGGCCCTGACAGCCCTGGGTAGGGCGTGGCCGGGGGCTGCACAGCGGCGGTGTCAGGCTAGGTTCAGTGAATATCGAACAGCAGGTGGCCCGGCCACCAACACTCTGCTCGTGTGAGCGGGGGGGGGGGGGGGG